CTCTCCCTCCCCCTCCCCCTCTCCCTCCTCGCCTTTTTCTTCCCCTCATGCACCCACTCGTCACCCACTCATACACCCACTCATTCATTCATTCACTCATTCAGTCATTCATCACTCATTCATTCATTCATCACTCCTTCAGTCATTCATCACGCATTCATTCATTCATCACTGATTCACTCATTCATTCATTCATTCATTCATCACTCATTCATTCATTCATCACTCATTCATTCAGTCATCATCACTCACTCATTCATTCATTAACTCACACATTTACTCACTCATTACTCTCTCATTCACTCACTCAGTCATCACTCACCCATTCATTCATTCATTCACTCACTCAGTCATCACTCACCCATTCATTCATTCACTCTTTTATTTATTCATTCACTCTTTCATTCATTCATTCACTCTTTCATCATTAATTCCTTCACTCTTTCATTCACTCACTCACTCATTCATCATTCACTCACACATTGTCACATATTCATTCACTCACTCATACACCTATTTACTCAGCCATTCTTTCACTCACTTCTGACTCACCACTCTCTCTCATCATCCACTCGCTCTGTCACTCATTCACTCTTATCATTTATCCATTCGCTCATTCACTCCAGCATAACCGCACCCAACTTACCCTCTCTCGCATTCACTCAGTTGCCATGTCCGTACAACCTCAAAGGCAGTTTTGTAAAAGGGGAAATTGCAGAAAAATATAATTCCAACAGTCTCAGATTAGAAATAGTTTCATTTGATTTTCTTATAAATTTATTATGCGTTTATACAAAAAAGTAACGTATGCAAGTATCTGTTGCTTTATTGCATTCGTACACATTGAAAACCTCTCTCCTAACATCCCTCATTTTCAAAACATGTACTCATGCAATAAAGCTTAACATTGTACTCTTATACAATTCAATGAGATATTGAAAAAATGAAGTACCAGAAGATTCGAAGTAATGAGGAAATGAAGCTAAGGAATACGTTTGGCTTCTCCTTTTGGGGTCTCATGACTTTCAAATCAGTGAAATACTGAATATGTGAAAAAGGATAGTGCTTCCTATTCTCTACTTGCAAACAAAAGTATAACGGTTGCAATAGACGCATGGAATTTATGATCAAGTTCACGGATTCTCTTACCAAATCAAGAAAGGCGAATTGCACATTTTCAGTTTTTATCGCTTTCGCCTTGTTTTGGATTTTTATAGATTTATAATTTAAAACATTCTATTTAGTACCGACTTCAGGAAATTCTACCTCCTTTTCATAGAAGCAAAAACATGTAGAAGATATACGAGCTTTAAGTAGGTTGCAGCTTCTCGTATGTTCTGTGGATCCGTTGGATAAGATGATATTCGAGTAATTTACAAAGTGGAAACTGCATAATCCGTGCATAAAAAGTTCGAAATTGTTAGTTTTTGCAGAAATTACTCAAACAAACTCTTGCCTATTGGTAGCTCATTTCCCTCACCGTTTGTTTATTTGATTATTTTCTTTGAAAGTGGACAATAGAAACGTCAGTGTACAAAACACCCTACATTTGATCTGATTTCGTAACATGATAACTGTATTTACTGTGGAAAACTATGGATGATATATATATATATATATATATATATATATATATATATATATATATATATATATAACATCATAATTGTTCTCTGAATAGAGATCAGAAAATTTGTCTAAGAAAGTGTGGAATG